TATTGAAAAGATATAATACCTAAAAAACTGATAACCAATCAACTGGAATGCATCCAAATCTCCTAAAGGTTTTTGCAGTTGGAAGTTAATTTACAGTGGTGTAAATGGGCCGAGTAAATAAATGTTTGTTTACTTTTTCTTCAGATTTGACCTTATTTTATCTGTTTAGTAAACTAGGATGTAAGTTGAAAAAAAGAAGGAAGTGGTGCAAAATTTGCATCAGATGCAAAATTTACAATACAAATGGATGCAAATGAGACAAGAAAAGCAAATATAACAACACATCAAGTCATAGTCACCAACAAAACTAAATTGGGTGCAAAATTTGCATCTGTTTTAGATTTTCTCTTGCAAACAAATGGAGCCAAGCCTAACAAAAAAAAAACTGAACTGTTTCAAATATTTCCGTATGATTTTATTTTTTATTTTTGGAAAATAAAAGAAGACGCAGAGTTAGAAGGAAAAGAAGTGCAAGTTGTTGTTGGTATTATTATTATTATTATTATTATACAGAGGGGAAAGCGTTCTGTTCCATGCAGTTACATGCATGAAGTGGTGTTTGTGAACCAAGGTGGCCTCTGTAACATTTGATTGATTATTTCAAGAGTATATCGAGATATTCTTTGAGTGATATTGATGTATACATGAATGAAAGTAAGAAATCTGTAGTTCAGTATCAGTAAATCAATGAATATGGGCTCTACCCAAATGTTTTACAGCTGGAAATAACTATAACTACAACCACTGAGTCCAATTACAGAATCTGCACTTAGACTCCTCAAGTCCAATACTACTTTGCTTGTCCAATCTGATGACTGACAAATTGCACCATGAGTAGTGAGCCCTAATCCATTGAGACGTACTGTTGCACAACACTCACTCCCATCACAGGTGGGGCGAGCGACCACACTTTTAGGCTCATCTTTCTGTGCATCGATCTCTGCTTATTCTTTTTTCTTTCATTCCATCATGTGTATTGTTTCCTTCTCCCATGGGCCATGGCATGCCTATTTTCTTATCATGCTGTCTCGGATTTACGTCTCGAGTACTGTCAATAGTCTAGTCAAAAGCTTTCAATGTGCTTGAATAATGCAACTATTGGAGTTGCAAGAATTTTAATCAATTAAGTGGTACCCATTCGAGCTGTGGCCGCGGAAATGGCGGAAATATAATGGTCAGTCACAATATTGAGCCCCCTGTGTCTATCCTGATATTAATCAAGATATCACGTTTCATGTTTCATGTATAGGGTTAGGGTGGGTTCTATGGGTTCATACTTTCTTCATTCTTCCATCTGGTGCATATGGTATGGTTTTGTTGGACTGAAGACAAATTGGTGATGATTTGGTTGCAGGGTGAAGAATGCTTCCAAAGGAGAACCATCCCCTATCGATCCTAGAGGGTCCTAGTGCTTGCTTTCATTCAGATGGAGTCAATTAATTAATATATAAGTCCTCTTTTACATTCACAAGTAGTACTTGATGCTGGATGCAGATACAGAGGTGCTATCATAAACACAACTAAAGGATCCAACCCATCCACTTCGCCTAAGTTGTAATATTCTCTATTAATTATCCATCATCAACTGTGTGCTTTTTTCATTATCTTATCAACTAGAGACTACAGAAAACTTCTTTTCTCTCTCTCTCTCTCTCTCTCTCTCTCTCTCTATTGCCATGTTGTGTTCATTGCATTCAATTCATGCATTAGATTGTATCTGTATGATGCAACAATTGTTTATTTATTGTGTTTTATTATATTAGACATAAGTGCCATTAGGTGCAGACAAAATGAAAATGCAACAATAGAAACCTCTCAAAGTGAAAGTTTCACATAACTGTTCCAGATAAAAGAAAAGATACAAAATGTCCATACTTACTTTGATCACTCTACTAAACAATATTTAAACATATATATATATATATATATATGATGCTTATGTATCACTATTTCAAATGAAATCACAACTACTGACACGATACCAAAACCCACTATGAGTATTTGAAATTACAAGAGAAATAAGATTAATCGGAGAAAACCAAGCCAGGTTTTTCCAATGGCTGAAGCTAAGGTTGGGTAAATAGTAAATTCCTCCTCCTCTTGTATTATTTAATTATTGTCTACAAAAAGACAAAGCAACCAGTTGAGTTATTCAGCAACTTCAGTTTAATCAAAACGGTCCCATACTCTCAAGTTTGACATTCATCTTCCTATCTTACCAACCACTTAATTAGGTAACCAGATTTCCAATATCAATAGTCATTACTTACAATCAAATAAATAGGCCCCGTTTGCTTCGCAGGAATAGGGGTCTGAAATTGGAATCGGAATGGGCTAGCTGCTATTCTGGTTCCAACTGTTTGGTTGGACGGAATTGGAATCCTATTTTTCCTGCCTTGGGAATGAAATCTCATTCCTACCGATTTCAATTCCCATTCCCATTTCCATTTCCATTTCCATTTCCATTTCCATTCTCATTCCCATTCTCATTCCCATTTCCATTCCTGTCTGAAGCAACAGAATTATAAGAATACATCATTCCGATTTCGATTCCAACTATGAACCAAATGGACCCTATCTGCATATTGGAAATCATCATTATCATTAACAACAACAGTGCACATTCGGAAAAATAGAAACACAGAAATCTTTGAAAGAGAGAAGTCATCTGTGCCACCAAGTACCACCTCAGATAATCATGCCAACGATCAAGAATGAATCAAAATCAATTTCGATGTCTCAAGGAAGATTGATGGTCAATGCGCAATTGGAATCATAGCAAGAGATAAGCTTGGAAGAGTATAGGCGCTTGCTCTATTAACAAGGCAGAAGCATGGGCAGCCCATGAAGCCCACCTAGTTGTAGCCAAGTTTCAAGGAGAAGGATTCTAAAAGAAGGGGATTCCAGGCATGCAATCGAAGGGCAGGCTCTAGGGCGTCTCAAGTCTCAACTCCACCTTGGAATTATTACCAACACTCTAGAAGATTAATTAGTTATGAGGTCTGCATGAGGTTCCAATTAAGGGTCATGTACTCCGGGAGGCAACTTCGAACGGATTGGTTAGCAAATTTTGGTCACAATAATCAAATTTCTTCCCCCATTCCTTTCTTTATATTCCTTTTGCTTAAGCTTTTAAACCACTAAACCAATTAACTTCTTATGATAATAAGTGAAATAAAAAAAAACTTTTATTATCTTTATTGTCTAAACGCATGCAAATAAAACAATGGAATAAATAATATATCAAATCCGTATTTATATCAAAAGATTATTTGAATCTCACAATAATTATACAAACAAAATTCTTTTAGTACTTAATAAAATAATAATTCTTTTAGTACTTAAAATTTATAAATTTACACATGCTATTGTATCTTAAAATTCATATATATACATATATATAAATGATTAATTAATATTTTATTTACATTCAATAACAACAAATTCATTATTTACAAAAATAAAAAAAAAATACTTACTAATATTCAAGAATATAATATTAAATTTAATCTATCAAATCTACTATTCTACAATTTTTATATCAAAAATTATTTTTAATTTTAGAAAAACTATAGAAATAAAAATATAAATAACTGAATAATCATTTTAGTAATTAAAAATAATAAATTTGCATACGATATGTATCTTAAAACTTTTAATACATTTGATATATTTTAAGTTGAGATGATATGTTTTTATAAATTATTAATTGATATTTTAATTTACATTTGAGAATGTAATATTTGGTTGACTTTTTTGTTAATGTAAAAAAGTAAAAATAGTAAAATAAAAAATAATTGATATAATAATAAAAATATAATAGGATGCACATGTCTTGTGTTTTGGGCTCTTGATTGATGTATTATCAATAAAATTATATGATATTCATGCAACCTTCTATATTAATTGTAATATATATTTGTCATATACATCATTAAAATATACATTATTTGTGGCTAAGGGTGAGCAAATGGGTAGGTTTTACCCAGAACCGAATTGCCCTACCCAATCTATTACAAGGTAGGGGGTCTGGTTCTAAATTCTTGGAACTAAACCCCACCTAGGCTGGTTCCAAGGTCTAGGGGTTTTACCCTATCCAAACCAATCCAATGAACCAGCCTTGGTTGGCCTTGGTGAAACTTTCCTTGGAACCAAACTTGTCTTGAAATAAACCCAAAGTACTTTTGGGAAGATTTGAATCCAAGCACTCATGGTTACAAAGGCCATGGTCTCACTTGATAATTGAGTTACTTAAATGATTTGATCATTTGTTTTCATTTTAATATTTGAATGTGTACAATAAGCAATGTAAAAGGTAATATTACAAAATTTAAATTTAAACTATAAGTTTTGAACCATGTAATGATAATTTGCATATTAAGTTACTCAATTTAATCAATATAAGACATACAATTTTTAAACTATATTATATTTATTGAAAATCACTTTTTAAAGAACATGCTTCTCTCTCTCGTTTTTTTTTTTTTTTTGAAGGAGAAGAGTAAAGCAAGAACAAGTTCCATGGGTAGACCCTAGAACTGACCTTCACAAGGTAGGTTTCAGTTCCAAAAAACCTGAAACTGACCCCTATAGAGGGTTACAGATTCTACCATGAACCGAACCAAACCGGCCCATGCTCACCCCTATTTGTGGTTGTTTGACCTTAAATTTTGTATTCTACCATGAACCGAACCAAACCGGCCCATGCTCACCCCTATATACAATTTTCAAGTTGTCCGGGGATATGATACTCGATATGGACACTTTAATCCTTGATGATGATTTATTAAGATGTTGGCAAAATGTAAATGTGTACACTTTAGAATGTTATAGTTTTAAAGGGTTTTTCTGAAATTTATACAGGATCTGAAATCATTAACCTAAGCAAAACATTTCTTGTAGCAAGGTTGTTTCTTTAAACTAATATTGTCCGCGCTGAGTTGAGATTGTATTAGAACATTTTGTTTAGAAAGTTATAGATGACCAAAAAGGAAATACTATTGGCATATGACTTGACAGATTTATTAGAAGATAGTAACAGCTACAAAGTCTTATTAATTCTAGATCTAGCTAGTGCTAGTTCACTTGGGACCTTGTTCTTTGTCAACATCCTCGAATGTTCTTTGAACCCAATTATCCAAAAAGGGGGAAAGGAATAGAAAAAGAGATGGAGGAAGATGAGAGCATTGAAGGTAAGGGTGCATCCTAATTGCCAGTTGATGGAGGAGATGAACTGACAACCGGGTACTTGTGAGCATTCTTAACCATTTTGGAAAGAGCAGCTTGGCCAAGATCAAGTCCACAAACATCTGCAAGTTGAACTAGATATAGCAAAACATCAGAGAGTTCCTCCTCTAAATGCTCCTTATCATCAGAAGTCCAATTGGGGAGTCCTCTGGCTACCTCACCCTTCCATTGGAAGATCTCAGAGAGCTCCCCAACCTCTCCCACCTACAAAATTAAGACAGTAGTGATACAAAGTAGATGATGAGATCGACAATTAAACATAACAGTAGTTGCACTTTGATTTGCGGGTACTTACCAAGGCTAGGAGGAGATTCCTAGGGCTATGAAATCGATCCCATCCCCTTACACTGGCAAACTCTGAAAGCCTATCTCTCAGCTCCTGAAGAGAAACGCCCTTGGTACTTAGACGCCCATCATCATGAGAATGCTCCATCCCCTCTACACACTTATAATTTGTTATTGTTATTCAACACTAGAGATGGGAGTTGGGGGATTTAAAGAGGAGAAATTAAGGGGAAGTGCCAATAGTTTTCTGATTCAATGGATTTGGAGATCGAGTTAGTGGCCGGAGCACTTGGGGAGTGAGTTCAGTTCGCTGCGAACAGTAATCATGTGAGACATGGGCAAAGATGATGTCCCCATCTTTCCATCCATGACGTGATGCCACTCTCTCAACTTCTCATCTTAATTTACTTACAAATTGCTTGCCTATTTGTCTTTTACTCCTTGGCACCTAGCTAGGCACCAAACGATCTATCTGTATATAATGTTGAATCTTTGACCATTTTGCCTGTTTAGTAAGTCATTTTGGAAAGATTTTCTGTTAGCTCTGATAGTTAAAAGATGCATTGAGCTTTTGCATGAAGATCTGAACAGTTTGAAGCTAATTTGACAGATACATGTCTTTCCGTGTATCTTTTCGTGTCWTTTTACATGAGAATAAAACACGAAAGACGTAAAAAGTTTTATTTGAAACTTTCCAAAATCAGCCCAAAATAGACTTCTCGTATTTCAATACTCCAACTTTTAACGACTAAATCTTCTACGAACCAAATAAGAATAGACCAAAAATCGATCTACCCAATTTATAAACAGCCAAAAACCCACACGAAAAAATGTACCAAACAGGCCCTCCATCGGTATACAACTCTTTCATCATCTGATTTAAGCCGGCCTCTGTGATCATGATTTGCAAGGGGATTCCTTTAGAAATGAAATTTGTTAGTATGGTCTTGAAGATTATCTGTATTTATAGTTTATTATATATAATCAATGTTGGGAGATGATAAATCACCAATCCAAGGCAGATGGGTGCATTACACTAGTGCAGCGACTCAGTAATGGGCCCAGCCCACAAAGATAGTAACAGTGCACTGTAATGATGAATATGCCAATAACAAACTTTGAGACAGTTGGGATTCATCAAATCAAATATTTGACATTTAGGATTATAACATACTATTATACTTTTTTTTTTTCTTTTAATTTCATAGGGCTACACAACGGGGTATCCCCCCACCACCCCCCCACCCCACCAACCATGGTGGCAGTGGAATTTGATCCCAAATGTCTATATTCCAACAAGTCACAGGTTCCCTTTCTATGACGATTCATACTCTGGTGACAATTTACTCTTTTCCCGATAGCTTTCACTTACTCTAGATAGCCTTTTTCTTAAACTGCCCTTTCTGTGGTTCAAATTTAATATATTTATAGAATGCATTGAACCAAACTGTTTATCATTTAGCTATTTAGGATCGTAACATCCCCCTCCCCCCTTCTCTGACACTGCTGGATGCTTATAAATGAAGCATTGTTTAGAAGAATGGGGCAAGAGCAAGATCCCTGCTCTTGAGCGTGGTTTTGAGTCCAAGAGTGGTTACTTCATTCTAAAATGCCAGATTTGAGGTCCATATCCAATCTCAATCTAGTCTTTCCAGGACCTGGGATATTTGGGTCTTCTGACCAGGATTGGATTTTGGGGGTATTCATTTTTATAGATTTTGAGAGAGGAAAAAGTTGGCCAATGAAATTTTGATTCTCATTGGTTAAGAAATCTATGTTTTTATTTTTTCAAATTTATGCAGGGAATAGGAAAAATTTATTTTTCTGAGTATCACTTACTTTCCTATGTGAATAATTAACTTCCCCGCCTGGAGAAGAAAATTGCCAACACTTAATTGGGACAAAAATATCTCTTTTAATAATGATTTTTTATAACTAAAATAGTCATTGCCTTATTTACATAGAAAATAAAAGAATACAGATAAATGCACTTACCCAAATAAATCTTTCATGGGACTTACCCAGATAAATGCATTTACCTAGATAAATAACGAACAAACACCTTTTAAATCATGATATTGATTTACAATGGCGATAGTGCCCCTTTCTTATAACCAATTGAATAAATAGTCAATAAGTTGCTAATATACACAAGATGAGGATCAAAGTGACAAGGCTTACGCAGAAATGCATCATGATATATTCCTTTTTAGAGGCTCTGTTTGGTTTGATAGAAAATAAGAAAAAACAGAAAGAAATTTCATAAAACATAGCTTTAGGATATGATACCTTCCTTTTATCATAATTGCAATCCAACTTGTTTCCCCCATCTTACAATTCGTTTTTAGATGCCCATCATTACACAACTAATTTCTTCCCCCATTTTTCTTCTGTATTTGCCCTCATTGAAATTTGGGAATAAATTGGTAGAGTAGAGCCCTAACATAAGATACCCATATTTCACCCATGCGTTTATTACGACACTCCCACCACAATCTACAATCCTACTCTTTGCTGGGTCACCGTACCCATAAAGCCATAACCATATCCATCACCATCACCAAACCTTGTTTTGGCCCATAAGACCTAAGATCTCTTCCCAAAGACCAACACTGCTAGAACCAGCCAACCCAATTACACTAGGGCTACACGCTGCAACTGTCCAATAACCAGCCCCAATCTCGTCCTTGAGTTGATCCTTCTCCCACCCACAACACCCATCAAAGAATTTGAAGTCTCCTACCTTCACAACATTTCTCTTAACCATCTCCGCTGCACAACCAACACTCTCCCTAGTTCCGTAGTACAACCCCCCCATCACTTCCTCAAACACCCCGCTCCTCCCTACTCCATCATCCACCCCCTTGTAAGGACCCATCAAGAACAACCCTTCCGCCACCGGTCCCCCAAAGAACAACGGCAAATCGGAAAATGTGCCGGCCATGTCTAGAACCGTCGATCGTGTCTCCTTGATGGACATCAGAGATGGCCGGTTCAGTATGAGACCAGTGGGACCCACGGGACCCATAGACAACAGAAGGATGACCGTCCGTTCGAAAATGTGGACCCCATCGAGCTTCTCCGTGGCCACCAGCAAGCACCCTCTTTCTGGCTCATGCAGTGGGTGAACCCACTTCTCCCCAATCGAGACACGGGGAGGATGATCCTCCACAGTGTCGGGATCGACCCAGTTGGACGGCTCTGCTGGCCTTGACGCAAGCTCTCCGGCAACTAGCCTCGCTCTGAATGATCTCCAATCAACATTATTCATCACCGGACTGATGTCATCCTCCGGCGATGAATGATGACAACCTATTGTCAATATTTGCAGTTAACAAGGTATCAACCAAAACAGAGGAGAAAAAAATGAATTGCGAATGGAGCTTTAAAGTTAAAACAGAGGTTTGGTTTACAGGAGGTAATTCTACTTGATCATAAAGTAATAAGCATTCAATGTATCACATTCTAGTCGACGATCAGAAAGAGAATGGTAAAGGGTCTTGATGATCACCCTATTCTCTGACATATTTGCTACTTACATAAACAGGGGATCCAACTGGAACCCATCACAGATTCAGGGTCCATGAACCTGTGATGAATATAGATCGAAATTCAACGGTCTATAATTTAATACAAGGGAAGTAGAAGCACTTACATGTTATAGGAGAAGGAAGAGAAACAGCTAATCTTTGCGAAAATTGAGAGAAATTCGGATTCCTCTTTAAGCAAGGAGCTCTAGCTTTGATTGAAAGGGCGGGGTCAATGATTTTGGTGGTGAAAGACTTGGATGAGAGAAAGCGAGCTTCCGTACTCATCATCATCGCAGTCGTCGTCGTCGTCATCGCTTCTCTTTCTCTCTCCACTTCTTCCCGATCTCCTCTCCTCCTTCACACTACTGTTTTTCGCAGATAAAGATGGCGTTGGATAATTGAAACGTTTTTTTTTTATATGAAAAAGTGAAGCAAATTGTAGACCACAAGATTCCCTCAACTCCGCTCCGGGCCACTCAATCTGGATTTCTACCTTTTTGGTGTTTGGACTCTGGACCGACTAATTTTCTTTACACGTGGCAAAAAGAAACGAATATATATAAATACATACATCCACATGTCATGATATTAGGTCTACACTTTTCATCCTTTGTTTTCGAGTGATGATGATCAGACGTGAGCGCGCTCACCGTTGCAGCTCCTCGTATTTACTTTGTTTTCCGGTTCACTTGGGGCGTATACGCGGGAGGCTCTCACACTCACGGTGAGAGTGTTTGTCTTCTGGTTACAGCACCAGCGGCCAGCGGGACCACGGTTGACGTGGTACATTTGAGAGCTAGTAATAGAGTGGACTAGGGTGTCATAGAACTAGTGGGTGTGCTTCGTCCGTCACGGATACGGTATTCATCATCTAGCTGGAGACGTGGACAGAAATTCAACAATCTAGCTAGACCCGACCCGACCAGACACTGACTGCTGAAGTTGGTGTTTCCCGGATTGGACGGTCCGGTCGTGGTTTTGGATGATCATTCAAACCGTGATATCAAATCATTACCCATTGAAACAAATGTAAATCTACCTTCTCTTTCCCTCTGTTTTTCCGGTGATTTTTTTTTTTTTGTTATTCTCATAAACAAACCGGGTGGATTTGGTCTGGAAACCATGTTGTTGTGTCATAGCCTGACTTGGACTCGGAACAGATAGATATGATAAAAGGTTCGGGTTTAGGTATGGATGAGTGCAAAACGGGTCATGTTGAAGCCTCCATGGGCTTAATCCAACAGCTTATGCCTTTTGCCTGTTTGATGACAAGAAGTCAAGAACTGTAAAAGATAATTAGGACATGTAATGGGTCGGATGTGGAGCAGATCAAGCTAAATCCAAATTCAAAGGTTTTGGGTCTTAACAGATCCGGATGGAAAAACAGGATTCATATGCGTTTCATTTTAATTACAACCCAAATCCAAATAATCTCCGATCCTTTATATGCATCTATTCGGGTGGGATGCAACCATGGTGCTGGAGTAGAGTTGGAACTCCAGGTCATATATATTGCATGCTCTGTAGACCTTGATTGCATGTCTAGTAGGTTTCCCGGACCCAGACTCGGATCTAGACCCTTTTCCTGTGAATTAGCAGGGATGGATGGATGTCTTTGATATTTCCTTTTTTTTTTTTTTTCCTACAACTGCAGAATTCACGGAAGCTCATTAATTAATTAGTTGAAACCTAACACTTTTTAGTGTTTGTTCTTACTAGAGGTTAGGAGACTTGAAAACCCTAAATCATGAATCAGAGAAGAGGAAAGCTTGAAGCTTGAAGTAGACTTGTAGCTTTTATATATTTTTCAGGTTGAGTTGAGCGTTGGACCCAAAGCTCTAGATCTGCAAGTGCAAACATGATGAAGAAGGTGAAGAGAACTCTGATGACCTCCACGCAGTGAAGAGAACTCTCCGGTGAGAAACAGTTTCGATACAACTATTAATCGGTGTAGTTTAACGTCTCCTTCGTTCTCCGATACTTTCAGAGATGAGAGAATGCATTCCAGGACATTTAACGAGAAAATAAAGAGAAAATGCGAGAGATACAAGTAAGCTTTACCTTCAGCCGCATGAAAAAGTTATAGGAAATTAGGAACAGAAAGAAAGAGAAATGCAAACATAAAACACCGTCCGTTCACAAAGGCAGAAAAAAGAATGCTAGAGATGCAAATCCATAAAAATTTATTATTAAAAAAGATATTTTTGTTCCATTCAAATGTTAGCAATTCCTCTATTAGGAAGTAATATTCAGGAAAATAAACTTTTTCCTCCCCTCCAAATCCAGAAAAAAAAACACCGAGGTCGGATGACAACGTTCAAGGGTTTTCCTCTTCGATTGATGATTTGTGCGTTTCAACATCTGTATATATTTTCTCACTCATTTCCAATAAAGTCTGGCTTTCGAATTGCTCTGCCAAATTCATGGCAGATTATTTCGTTTCTATGGATTTTGGAATATCCACTCCAGTTTAACCTGTGTAATTTTTGTGATCAGAAAATCATTTTAATTGCCTGGTTCTCCTACGGTACTTTCAGAGATGAGAGAACGCATGAGTGAAAGGGCGAAAGGGGGGAGAGAGAGAGAGAGAGTAGAGAGAGATTGGGGAAGCAAGCAAAAAAAGAAAAATGCCACTGCTGCTTGAAGTTGCAGCGGCGACGACATTAACACAAAGAATGTCTCTGTGGTTGTTTCTCTATTAGCAGTTTTCAGATTACCAGCGATGATGATCTGTGCTTGGGATTGGAGTGTAAATTTGATATCTTATTTTATTTAAAAATATGAAAAATAATAAAAGATAAATTTGACTTTTTACTTTTTGACACTTGTCAGAAAGGTAGTGCAAGACAATAATTAAACAGTAAAGGTAGAGTTTGTGAATTAACTAAATAATAGGAGTAATTTAAGAAATTTGCCCAAAACAAATTTCTAACCCTTGTTCCCACTCTCACATGGCATAATCAGGTCGGGTTAACCCATATATCTGTAATTGCCAATGTAAGGAAGAAAAAAAAAAAAAAAGAAAATCCAACCCGGCAAGATCAGATTGGATCAACTCGTATACCTAAATCAACCAATTTCAAAAAAAAAAAAAAAGAACAAAAAGAACTCTGTTCTTGTGTCCTTTGCCACAAGGCAGAACTGGGTTGGGTCAAGCTGCATATCTTAAATTGACCGAACAATCTAAAAGGCAAAAGTTGCAGAAAAAATACAAAAAAAGATAAAAATAAGTTTTTCATATATATATATATATATATCAGCTAAAAGAGAAGAAATTGATAAAATTTCAAAATAAAAAATATGTCAGACAAAAAGCATAAATTGCAGAAAAACACAAAATGGTAAAAAAATCAAAAAATATATATTTCAGCCGTTCAGAAAAAAAAAAACATAGAAATTGATAAAGAAATTCAATAAAATATATATTAGCCAAAAAAAGCAGAAATTGCAGAAAATCACATTAGTTACTGCCTATTATCAGCTCCGAACTTATCTAGCATCATAAATAACTCAACTTGTCAATTCATCACCATTTTCAGGTATGAATAGTAATGAGTAGCTTTTATGACACACCAATATATTAAGCTAAACAACTTTGCATAATAACATCATAGTTCTGAAACCTATTTCGTTATCTGTTGCCTATGTCATTACAAGTTGAAGTACAAGCACTAGAACTAATGAAGATACAAGAGGCATGCACTTCCTGTTTTGGAGGGCCTCCTGACCATGATCTCGACATTGCACATTTCTGTTCAAGTAACAAAGCATGGGGATCCTCATATAAGGAGTAAGAAATGAAACGACATTGTTTTTTCTGCGTTCTGCCTCACTTTCTTAACAGGAACAAGTTTATGGAAGCATGTTAGTCACACCATATGGTCTTTAGCACTGAAAATATCCAAGGATTTGTTTCAATTCTATGCCATTTTGCATTAACCAATGATTTAGAGTGACTTATAAATCCCACAACAGTTAATATGCTTATACCAATAATAGATTGCATTATAAGATCTTAGTTGCAGCACTCCAAAGAGAGATAAACAGGATTAACTCTCTCCAGGAAGATAACAAAAAAGAAAAAGTTACAGAACAGCCCAAAACATTTGATCCCTTCCCACCCCCTGCTTTGCCAAAACATCAGCAAATGCATTTGCTGTTCTCTTGACCCACTGAAACTTGATTCCCAGTCCTCTACTTAGCCAATTAATCTCCTTCCTCTCATTAGCATATTTCCAAAGTCCACTACCTTCTTGTAACCAACTTAAGGCCAGCTTTGAGTCCCATTCAATGACTAACTTTTATATATTCAGTTCCTTAGACTTCCTTATACCCTCCAGTACTGCATAGACCTCAGCTTTGAGAGAGTCTCCAAACCCAATGGGACCTGAATACAAAGCGAGCACCTTCCCATCCTCATCTCTAAAAACCCCTCCTACACCTATGAACCTGGATTTCCCTTACTACTTCCATCAAAGTTTAGCTTTATAAGTCCACTTCCTAGTGGTGACCACACAGGACAAACTAAAGAGCAGGCAGGAGCAGAATTTGCCACCTCCAGCCAGCTATTTAGCAACATATCCGTAGAAATATCAACAAACAGGTCCAAGGATTTCAGCCAACGTACCACCCTCACTGTTACTACTTCCATAAGGCATTCTTTACTTCTTTCAACATCAGAGAAAATTCTGATGTTCCTTTCCTCCCAAAGAGTCCAGCAAACAGCATCCCTCACACATCTCCACATTATCCTTCCCCTTTTGTTTAATCTAATGAATTCCAATTATTGATAAAAAAATAATAGATTGCATTATCAGATAATATCATGGTACATATCAGTTAAATATTCTAGTATCATTGCAAATACTATCATGTGGCTTGGTGTGAAGGTGGAGGTCCCTGAAGGTTGGCTCACTACCTGAAAGAGACAAGAGGTTTGTTGTATTCCATGGATATGACCCTTTACTGGATTCCCATGGATCTAAATTGCATACCCGACGAGTTAGATAAATCAGGGGCTTACAGAGATTCCTTGTATAGCAATAGAACATTGCCTGTGTAATTTGTGGGTTGTGCTCTGATCTTCTTGTATGTCACCTCATGTACTTTCTTTCTCTCTTTTAATGAATTCTGGTTAACTTGTCTCAAAAAAAAAAATCAAGTATCATGGTACATATTGGTTAAATATTCTACTACCAATAATAGATTTTTTTTAATAATAGATTCATGACAAAACAAAGGCACTGAAACAGGTTCACACTACAAGAAGTTTCAAATCTTACCACCTCTAGGGAAGACGTGCACTCCATAAAGGTTATTTTTCTATTATTGAGGCTAGGCTATATATACTTGCAAATATTTAGTTACTGTTATTCAAATGTGAGGCAGATACTATGTTTTATGAGATGTAATGGAGACCATGATTTTCAAATTGATTGGAGTAAACCATGGATAACCAATTCCATTTGCCCTCCACACTATGTGTCATTGCAACTCCAGGAAAGATATTGGGTTCTCAGACATGCTAGATTTTACATGTTTGATGTGCCCCACATGCAAAATCCCAGGTTCATCACATGCTGATCATGTGATCATAAACGGTTTAAGATACCAAGAGCTAGATGACTCTTTCCATCTAAGTCAGAATCTCATTTTTAGAATATTGACCAAATTCTATTCTGATTGTCCAAAGGAAGGCCATAGATCAGACAGTAAAGATCACCCTATCTTGTCAACTTTATGGTTTGGATCTCCTAGGTGAGACACAAGAACTTGTGGTCCCTTTCTACGTTTAACCCTTTAAAGCAGATAGAAGAGAAGTACAACCACTCTTTTTTTCCTTTTGTCTTTGGATAACCTGCAGTAGCTCTGTTTCCAGTCAAGGCGTATAATAGCAGGGAATTCCAGATTTCAAGGTTAAAGCCTTGGGCAATCCATGAGAATCTAAGAGCTGAAATAATCAATACAATTGAATGGAGAAACTAGTAACAGTACACTTCCTAAAGATTAATTCTCTTACCAACCAAGGCACAGTGGCTGCAACAATGAAAAGCTTCAATGATTAATAATATTATGCTTGACACTGCAATATATATTTCAAGTATTTGAACATTTTTTTTTCAGAACATTATGTCCCTAGTTCTGTACAGAATACACCCTTTCATGTCCTTTTTAAAATTTTTGACATATTGTAGCTGACTCAGGTAAAACATCAATATCGTATCAGGTAATTTCTTTTTTTTTTCTTTTTTGGTAATATAATCAGCTAATTTCAAGTGAAAGAAAATTGGACAGTGTCTATCACATTGAATTTAAAGTGGATAAATAGCAATTGATTACCCATTCCTCCACACTTTTTTTCTCTCTGTTGTTTCTTCATCCAAGTATCTCCTAGTCAAGTTTCTTCCCATTCTATAATAGCAGCTTCTTCTGCTTCTCTCACTCTCTTTTCATATTCAATTGCTTGGATCTGAGCAGTATGCTTCTTGCCTATAAGATGTTGCCTGAAGCACAATTCATTCATGCATGGGACACTACACAACTTGCACCACAATATCTGGTTGCCTTTCCCTCCACCACTCCCCTGACTTTCCTCCAACTCTTTTAGTTTGGCTTTATGTTTACTACCTTCAAAGTGTTGCTTGAGATTAAATGCACCTGAGCATTACACCTGGCAGACCTTACAAAAAAGGCTGTTCGATTGATTTTGATGGGGTTGGTAACTTTGTGATGGTTGAGGTTGTTGTGGTGGCAAGCATTTAAGGTTACTGGATGGGTGGGCAGGTGGGTTTTCATGGGGTTGGCAACTATAAGAGGGTTGAGGTTGTTGTGGTGGGAAGCATTGAAGATTGTTGGATGGGTTGTTAATAGGTGAGTTTTGATGGGGTTGGCAACTATGAACCAGGTGTGGTTGTGGTGGCAAGGATTGGAGGTTGCTGGATGGTGCTTTCCTCTTCAATCCCACTGAACTTGGAATTGAAAATATCCCCTAGAATAAGAAGTAATGCATAAGAAAACAAAGAATTAAGCAGCACACCCATTCTGCTATTCAGCAATACACAAAATCATAGCATTCATTCAACAAGAAAAAAAACATAAGGGAACAGGAAACACCATTCCATAAGACAGCCATTTGCTATAATGTAGTATCTTGCCATCTTCTATGACATTACTTCATGCCCAATTTTGTATACATCAACCCGTATATTTCCCCCAATACACATCATGGACCATCTAACGTCCAAAAACAATCTTCTCATAAGGGAATGTTTTACAGAACAGCTGGACTAGATCTCAAAGTTAACTCACTTTATCTGTCTAATTCATATTTTTCATTGTTTGTAGAAAGCAAGAGTTAAATACATCATCCATTAGTCTATTACTTGAGATATGTACGAGAGAAAAGAAATTACTATAATCAATTAGCACAAATTGATTAAAAATAAAATAAAGAAAAGAAAATAGGAAAGAATGAAGCGTGCAAATGCAGAATTCATGTTCTATTTTTTCTGGATAACAAGCATCATGCAAGAGGAATTGAACTCTTACCTGCGATGTTGTAGGGGCTTGCTTACAGTCACTAGAAGAATGTAGTCGCAGAGTCTCCATCTTCCTTCGGTACGCCAACTCCCTTCTGATTGCAAGTTCCAACGACATAATGTTCTCTTTGATTCCTTCATTAGAATTTTCCCATAGACATGCATCTTCTTGCGAACTCCTACGTGAGAGTTGTGTCTGAACTAAGGAGGGGTTCATCATTCTATTTGATGAACCGGGATCACATGGGACTGGCTGGGGCACAACGTTCTCTGATGGTAATCTGACGAGCGCATCCCCATGAAATGGCCACTCTTGCCGTTGTGTCTGTGTACCAGAACCTTGAAGAAAAACGTTTTAAATATGAGCTAGCTACATATACTCCAAACTGCTAAAAACCCAATTTCATCCGGCTAAAAACCCTGGTACCCTCAACTGCAAATATTAAGATCACAAAAGTCGGACAGCAGACCTCGGAAGAAGTACTGAAGTCATCAACGGCTCAAATAGCCGAGACATTCCCAATGGAGATGATTTTACCACATGCAGCACTGGTCGAGTAATAAAAGATCCCAGGAGCTACAAATCAATGGCATTATATAAGTGGGTGAAAAAACAACAAAGAAATTATGAGTATCAGAAGAGAAATTAGAGCCGTCCATCACCTGGCATTGGTTCAATATAACTGCGTTCCTTCGACAGCCCCAAAACTTTACAGCCTCCTTTATAATCAGATTTGAAATCCATTGAAGCCCTGGGTTGAAACTTGAGAGACTGAAACCCTAACGAGAGAGAGAGAGAGAGGAAATGCAAAGAACCTTAGAAGTTGGCTACGTACTGTTTTTCCGTTGGAGGCATTACGACAAAATTTTCGCGGGCAATGGTCTGAAGTGTAAAGAGGAAACGGGCGAGGGGGGTCAACATATGGGATCCTGTGCCATGAACGAATCTCTGTATTTATGGTATTTGGGATCAACTAATTGTCCAATGGACAGAAAGAGAGGAAGAGAATCCGATTCTTTACCTCCCTTCTTTGAAGTTTCACTCAAGGAGAGGATGCTCCTTCCATCAAACTGACCAAGAATCTAATTTCAACTGCCCAATTTAACCTGGCTGGTTGATTTGAAACTAACCAACCACTCACTTTCTTGAACTCATCACTCACTCAACCCAGACCAAGCCCTCTGAATCACCAGTAATTAAGTTCTAGCAAATATCTAACTTCAAAGTTTCAGCAAGGTGAGTCCCTTTCCATAATCATAAAATCATAATCTAGAATTTTACCAAAAGGAGCAAAATTTGTAATTTTCTTCTCACTTCTCAACAATGAATGAAGAATGTATACAAGTTATACATGAAGAATGGTAAGACCAAATACACTGAAAAATTGAAAATGTGTGTACATATTGGTGTATTTGTATGAACAACATAAAAATAAAAATGAAAGCTTTGGATTACTAATAATGGACAACTTCAAATTTCAGGAGCTCTACATCTCCCAAGTCCTAATTTTAAGACGGTGAGAAGGACCCATGACCATTATCACTCTGTTTGCTGGAAATCTTGATCAACATTGCTAGCACTTCCTTCATATTTGGTCTGTTTTGAGGCGCCTCCGCCGTGCACCGTAACCCTACTCTTAGCAACTCACACATCTCCTCTGCTCCCTCAGCAAGCCCAGATCCCAGAAGCACCACCGGAACCATGGTTCGGCTCGATTCTTGCCGTCCATTCCCAATAACCCGCCTCGCCCACTCAACCAAGCACTCTTCCCCACCATCAACAGCCCGCCTTCCGGTTGCCAACTCCATTGCCAACACTCCATAGCTGTAGACATCGCCCTTGGTGGTGGCCTTCCACGTCTGCCCATACTCCGGCGCGACATACCCGATGGTTCCTGCAACCATTGTGCTTACATGGCTCTCTCCGGCACTGACCACCCTAGCTAGACCGAAGTCCGTCACATGCGCCTTCCCATACTTGTCCAGCAATACATTGCTGGCCTTCACATCCCGGTGCACAATCGCCGGGAAGCACTCATGATGCAGAAACACCAAAGCACGAGCCACATCAATGGCCACATCGAGACGCCTTCGCCATGTCAGCCTTGTCCTATCCGCCACCAGGTCCTCCAAGCTCCCACCCTCCATGTACTCATACACCAACAGCTTCTCCGCTCCGTAAAGGCACCACCCATAGAGTGTTACAAGATTCGGGTGCGGCCACCCAAATCCATTCCCGCTCAAAACCTCCATTTCAGCCCTAAATTCTCTCTCCCCTTCAACCCCTTCTCTCTGTAGTTTCTTCACTGCTACATCTCTCCCATCAGGCAACACACCCCGGTACACCGTTCCGAAGCCTCCCTTCCCAATAATTCTAACAGCCGAAAAGTCCCCGGTGGCTTTGAGTATGTCAGCGTATGTAAATGCCGTTTTATCTAACCGGATAACCTTAACAGAGTCTGACGTCCCTGTTGATGCTGCACAGGAACTTGACGCTCCGTCGTGGCTATACTTTACGTTCTCCAACAAAAATCCTGGCGGCTCCACCGGACTCCTTACCAGTGTGCAAAAGATGACAGAAATTATCCCACATAACAAGAACACTATACTTAAAACTAAGAACGCCAGCAATACTGCACTCATTTTCTGATTCTTGGGTCCTTCGTGTTTCTTCCAATCTTCCGGTTCGCCTCTTCTCGTTTTGTTTATAAAAGGTGGAAGGCGTAAGAGTGGATCGCCAAGGAAAGACTCTTCTTCAAATGTTGCCAATTGTCCAGTCGATGGAATTACACCAGAGATGAGTGGATTGTACGAGACATTGAATTTGTTCAA